TAAAATTCAACTCCTAAAATTGAACTTTCGGAGATGCTCTCGACGGCGATTGTGTGTATTAATAAGAGGACACCAGATAAATAACCCAAACGTTTATGGTTAGTATAAACTTCCGCCTTTTAGTTCACTTTCTCTAAGTTCACTTTCCTTATTATTACTTGAATAAACATCGATAGCTACTCAGAAGGCCATTTCCTGGTACGCTTTAATTGGGTTTCGGGTGTGAAACTTTTCATCCGAAAATGAGCTTCTATTATCATTTGCATTCTCATGCAAATGTAACAGATTTTCATTTCAACCTGATTTCCCAGCAGGACTTTATGTGTAACCGAGGCAAGCCTGAAATGGCAAATCTAATGAACTAGCAGANCTAATGAACTAGCAGATCGCAAATCCTGTTATTTGAATTTAATTATTTGGCAAACATGCCTACTCTTTCTCAATAATATTTAGACTGCTTTTAACCAGGAGAAAGAACTGTGATCATCTAAACAATATGTTATCACTCAGTCCACCTGAATTCATTCACGTCACCTGTTCGTGAAATCTGTCAGACTGTAAGAGTTTTTAAGCAGTTAACCACATTTTGGATTTCATAAACTGCAAATCATCTTTCCCACTGATATTATTTGTTGTTAATCTGCCAACAATAGATTTCCATTTTTTTTTTATTACATGCAAACATCCAAGATTTTCACCCTCATCTACGGGTGAATGCTCTAACTGGAAAGAAAACAGGTTTTGTTCGTCATCTTTTTTTCACTGAAGTTTTCGCCCACGGTGAGATACCCACATCTTCTCGTTCAGTATACTGCATGACAAAGCTAAATAAGGGACTGAAGGGATACGTTCTCTCTCATCAAAGAAAGCGCAGTCTTTCACGAACAACAAGGCGTTACATTTTCCATGCATTTCAAGGTAAATATAGTTTTAATACCCAGTAGAGACCCTTCTTGCGATATCGTATTTATTTATTTATTTTAACAGTTGAATTCTGTGACGGTCGACAACTCAAATTCATAAATTGAAGACGGGTGAAAAATTAGGAAGTATAGACTGAAAGGGACATAACGACTGAAGTTTTTCCTTTATCAAAACTGAATGTGGCGACTATAATCTAATCTACTTTAATCACAGGTAGCTCAAGCTCGCAAATGCGCGTCTCTATACATACGGTTTGCTTTATTCGAAGCATAATGATTTTAAAACAGCACAAAGTTCCCTTCAGAAATACGTGTGAAGTAATGAACCGTCGATAGATCGTATATTAAAAGAAAACGGTAACGGTATGAATGTCACAAACCACAATAGGCGTGTATGTCTGTCAACCCCATTTTTTACACTGATAATGTTAGTTGGAGCAAATATCCGTTCACTCACCCCGAGTGCGA